AACAACATAGTATGTTTCACTCTATTTCTGCCTTGGAGTGAGAATTAAAGCTTCTTGTAAAGTAAATAAGTTATAATAAAATACATGAATAAAAATAGAAATAAAAGATAAATCAATAAAAATGATAATCTGAATGAAGACGAATTTATATAAAATGCGAGAATCGTGAGTTGATAGGTTGATAAATAGATGAAGAGTGGACTAGATAATTAGACAGATTGATACATACACGTACATACAGTACATACATCATACATACATACATACACTACATACATACATAGCATACATACATACATACAATACTGTACACTACATACATACATACACTACATACATACATAACATACATACATACATACATTCATATCACATACATACTACATACATACATCACATTAATACGATTAGAAGATACATAACATAGATAGATATCGACAGATCGAGGACAGAGGTGGATAGGTCACTTGTGTCTAAATAGAAAAGAAGCAGTATGTTACAATAATAGTAGTACTAGATATGGCGTAATAACAAAGAAAATAGACAAAAACCCTACATATAAGTAAAACAAATTACATTAGACCAACATATTGGCCAGTCGGTATCCCAAGTCGCTACCTACAAAAGCACTCACAGGATATCGTTTATCAAAAAAAAAAAAAAAAAAAAAAAACAGTAAAAAAAAAGTAAAAAAAAAAAAAAAAAAAAAAAAACAGTAAAGATAAAAAAAAAAAGTAAAACAAAAAAAGTAAAGTAAAAAAAAAAATAAAAAAAACAACAAACATAAAAAAAAAACAAGCATACACATACTACACCATTCGTAAGGAAAGACTCAGAGTGCACTTTGGATCCAAAGAGTCCGCTCTCGCTCTTATGAAAGAACGTGTTAATACGTTGAACAGGTCAGCATACGGTTTCCAACATCCGCACGCATGCACGTTCGTTGTATTCATATCCTTATGAAATATCTCCTCTTATCTCTATATATAGCTCGGTTCTCCTACTATAATTTAACCTATAATACATATAACGTATGTAGTACATATGCATCATATAATCAATTTATATGAATATGTATATATATATATATAATATATATATATATATA